GGCTTGATCCCACAAATATCATGACCTGTACCAAAACAAAGAGCTGAACACTAAACAGACAGCCATCCAGATGTCCCAGCAATATTTAAATCTTTAATTGACCTGAAAGTCATTTTACTATACGGTGTGACATGGGGTCTAACTTTTCTCTAAACCAAGAGATTCCCAAAATATTTTTATATATTTCCCCATTTAAAATATAGCATTGTCCCATAACTTTCTCATTTAACAAATTTTTTAAAAAAGATTTTATTTATTTATTTGCCAGAGAGAGAGAGCGCATACATGCACACACAAGCAGGCAGAGTGGCAGGCAGAGGCGGAGAGAGAAGCAGGCTCCCCGGCGAGCAAGGAGCCCCATGCGGGACTTGATCCCAGGATCTTGGGATCATGACCTAAGCTAAAGACAGCGGCTTAACTGACTGAACCACCCAGGCGCCCCTCATTTAACTATTCTTAAATATGCTCTGATTTCTATCTAGACTGCTTCCTATGTTCTATAATCTCTCTCCTGTTCTTGTGCCAACGCTACTTTCTTTTTTTTTTTTAAGATTTTATTTATTTATTTGACACAGAGAGAGATAGGGAGAGAGGGAACTCAAGCAGGGGGAGTGGGACAGGGAGAAGCAGACTTCCGGTGGAGCAAGGAGCCTGACACAGGGCTCAATCCCAGTACCCTGGGATCATGACCTAAGCCGAAGGCAGAAGCTTAACAACAGCCATCCAGGCACCCCAATGCTACAATGTTTTAAAATATGTGGCTTTCTAATATAATTTACTATCTTATAACGCACATCTCTCCTAAGTATTGTGCATCTTCAAAATTTCTTCGACTCATTTATTCTCATATAATCAATTCCCCCAGACAAACTTCAATATTTAATCACTTTCCTATACCAATAAAGTTCTGAGTGTCTGATTCATATATCAGATATATTCACAGCTTAAACTGAGATGAGCTGGTATTATTTATAACATATTACCTTACCATCCAGAGATACATGGTATGGAGGGCTATTTATGGTCTTTTATGCCCCTACCCCATAGTTTAAGTTCTCAATTTATTAAGCCCAAGAGCTCTTTATATGAAAAGATTATTAACTCTCTGGCTGTCATATATGTTGCAAGAATTTTTTTTTCAATTTGTTAACAAAGGTTTATCAGAAAATTAGTTGAAGCATTATATAGGTATACAACAGAAATATATGTAGAAAAAGAAAAAATTAACTCTAAAGTTATTAATGGTTTTCAGCATAAGACTTACAATTATAATAAAAACCAAAGTTGTTAAGACTGAAAATAGTAAGTAGAACATATTATGGAAACATTTTACCTAACCAAAACTTAACTCTATGGACAATTTTGTAATTGGAATAGGATACAAAATAGACCGTTCAGCAGTTTAAAAGATCATAAACTTCATTCTTTAAAAAACCCAGCCCTTCAGGGACCCCTGGGTGGCTCAGCTGGTTGGGCATCTGCCTTCAGCTTGGGTCATGGTCCTGGGGTCCCATGATTGAGTCCTGTGTCAGGTTGCTTGCTCAGCGGTGTGTGTGTGTGTGTGTGTGTGTGTGTGTGCGCGCGCGTGCGCTTTTCCCTCTATGCCTCCCCCTGCTTTTGCTCTCTCTCTGACAAGTAAATAAGTAAAATCTTAAAAAAAAAAAACAAACAAAACAAAAAAAAAACCAGCCCTTCACTGTTTGCTTTCACTTGGTATATAATTTTACAATTCCTTCTATTTATCTTTCCATTTCTTTTTTTTTTTCCCCCATTTCTATACCTAAATGAGCACCCCTGGTTAAAAGCTATTCAGGTTCAATAACATTATTTTGTAAAATATGCATTTTTACTGAGCCATCTATACCACCTGTCATTTTTAAAAATTTCATTTTTTCCCACCTGTCATTAAAAAAAAAAAAAAAAAGATTTGAGAGAGAGAGAGAAGGAGAGACAGCACATGAGGGTGGCAACCACAGAGCCGGATGCCAGCTGGATCTCACCACCCTGAGACCATGACCTGAGTGGAAATCAAGGGCTGGCCACTTAACCAACTGAGCCACCCAGATGCTCCCACTTGATATTTTTTAAAACACATTTTTTTGGTGAACTTCCCTTCCCATAAACATCAGCAGCCATTTTCAACTTCAGTTTGGCCTCCAAAACAGAAACCACCACTCTTATCCCTTCCTCTAAGCTGATGATCTTCCCATTCATGACAACAATTCTTCGCAAACGTCACTATGCTGATACTTTATGTCCCCAACACCTTCCATCCGATCTCAGGCAAGTATTCTTGCTTCTTCCTTAGATACATACTTCAATTTAAGACCAATACCTTAATTTATGCATGGTGAAGGAAGAGGTAAGGCTCGTTAATTAATCTCCTGTCCAGGGATTCTGCTTCATTCATTTCCCACCTTACTTGTACAACTGGACTCTCATTCCATTTTGGTTTCTGCCATTCAGCCAATAAATATATTCTAATGTCTTCCATTCTTTTAAAAAAAAAAATCCCTTTACATTTTACCCTTTCTATATATCAACACCTCTCTCCTTTCCCTTCCTTAGGGAGCAGTCAGCATGCCTACCTCATCTATTCATTCCACAACCCCATCTCCTAATAGTCCAAAGACTATGCCTTTGCCTGAAGCTACTCACAAAAAAATTAACACAGTTACATTGAAGTACAACAATCAAGAGGACTGGGGTATTTTTTGGTTCCACAAATATTCTAATTTTGTATGTGACTATGCCTATTGCTGGAAGTTGGGACTGCTGAAGGAATCTGATAATGCCTTTCTCCTTGGTTCTAAATTGGATAAAATTGCAAACTTGTAAATAGCCTTAAAATGTTCACAAATTGGGAAGGGGATGAGGATCTTATATTCATATGCATTCAAATGTTTAAAAAGTATTTATATTTATGTATTGATACCACGTTTTAAAGTAAGAGAAGCTCCTTCTTCTATTTCCATCAAAGATTCAAGTCCAGGAATTTGTTCTATAAATGTCTTTCATCAATTACCTCAAAATGCAAAATCTTTTCAAGCAAGAAAGCAAGAACACAGAAACTAAATACTAAGTATTAGACCTTGACTAAATTACTTAACTTTATCACCTTTAACAAAGGGTTTTACCTTACTCCATGGTTTACTTTTGAGAATTAAACAAGACAATATGTGTAAAAGCACTTATCACAGTTCCAGGCACATGTTAAATACCTTCCTGCACTTTAGCACACTGCCACACTTTCATCAGACATAGAACAATTCAGAAGTGTACCAAAAAGAAGCGATATTAAAACTCTGAATTTACGTGAATCAGAAGACGTGGCAAAAGCACCATCTGTTCATACTAATAATAATCTTCAAATGAAAAGCTTCAATCAGGAGCAAAAGTTATTAGAAGATGGTCAAGTATACTCTGAGGGAATTCAAGCAGTAACCGTATTTTGCTTGAATTTCCAATTATGTCCTCTTAGGAGTGTAAAAGATTACTTAAGATTTAATATAATGGACAGAGTAAGCATACACACAAAGCAGTAGTTCCCCAGGCAGGGAAAGACAAATTTCAAATTCATCCTACCTTGGGAGGAATGAATCTTAAATATACAAAATTTCCTTACATACATATAAAAGTAAGTCAATTTATCAAAGGGATTTAGGATGAAGGGAGGTTTTCTCTACCCCAGGGCCAAATAATAAAATAAATAACCAAAATAAATCTTCTCCAAATATTTATGGGGGGAAAAAAGCCATCTGAATTGTTAGAACTGGTGTAATGCAGCTGGATTTAGTAAAATGTAGCAAGTCAGCTGCTTTCTGAAAAATTATTCTGGGGTGGAGAAAGTGGGCAATCTTCCCAATAAAACAACTGCCACAAAACACCATACATATATAAGAACATACACATCTGTTAAATATCAGTTTACACTGTGTTCTAGCCAAATTACTAATCAAGAAGTATTTAAGATCTAAAAAATAAGTCATACTCCACTTCTGGTCACATTTTGCACGGGTGGCTACTGGAGACTACTGGAGAGCTATCCACGCTGATTCAAGGCAATGAGGACTGAATAATAAGTCCACTGTTCACATTCAAATGTTGGGGCGGGGGAGAGGAAAGGGAGGCTCCGAGTTCATAAAGTTCTCCTCCCTCTCCAAACATTGCAAAAACTGTCCACGTCTAAGACACTTACCCTTGAAACTCCTTGGAGAGTGACTTGGGAGACTTTTTGTTCAGATTTCTGAGGGGGAGCTATTCAGGAATGCTGCAAGATTGCAACTTTCAAATACATGAACATAATTTAAATTCTAAAGCATTTTTTTTTCTTTCAGGAAAGATTTCCCCCTTTCCTTTCAAACAGTTTATCGCCACTCACATATTAACAAAATCCCCAATTCGACCTCAAGTATGAACAAAAACCAAAGCTTTAAAGGATATGCGAATAAAGCACACAACTATCTCCAGTAAATCCTCAACTCCCTCTCGATTAGGATGAGAAAGGAGAAACGAAGAACACGAAAGAGAAAAGATTCTTGGGATGAGGGGCGGCAAGAGGAGAAAGTAGGAAAGGGGAATAAGAGCAGAGCAAAAAGTTCAGCTAATGCTGACACTTCATCTGGGTAAAGGGCAGAAAATATCCTGAAGGCACAGGCTGGAAGTGAAGGACTGAGTGGGACAGGGGCGCAATAGAGGAAGTCCACGCAAAAGGCCTACCCAAACTGGGGGGAGGGGGCGGGGGAGCGGGCACAGTGTAGGAGGGAACACCAAAAAACGGGGAGTCTCATTAGGAAGAGATACCAATCAAGGCCCAAGAGCTTCAGACAGAGGACATGGAGACAGGGTATTCCTACTGGCAACCTAGAGACCGCAGATGTCTCGGGAGGCGATCCTGCTACGAGGGGTGAGGGGTTAACTGCGAGGGTTCGCAGACGTGGAAGGGGGTGCGGCCCCCGGGGTTGCCGCAGGGGAGCGGAGAGCAGGCCCACCGCCCGTACCTTGTAGTAAACATCGAACTGGATGTTCTCGGGCAAGGAGCGGATGTCTCGGCGGGAGCGGATGTAGTTGTCCACGACAGCGGAGATGGCGGTGTTATACAGAGTCTCTGGGATCCACTCTAGTTCCACGGCCGCCATCTTCCTTCCCTCCTCCTCCGCCTCCTCCGCCTCCTCCTCCCGAAGGCCCCCGCCTCCCTCCGTAGCGAACTCCTCTGCGGCCCCGGAGGATTCGGACGGGCGGCGGCAGCCACGCGGGCACAGGGCAGAAGCGCACGGCCGCCCTGGCTCCTCCGGGGCGAGCTATAGGGCAGCAGCGGCACACGCAGGCCCGGATAAACAGCGGGGCACGGAGCCAGAGAGCGCCAAGCCCAGGCCTCACATTCCGGGTTTGAGAGAAACCCGGGTTCTGTCCCAGCGCGGAGCTCTGCAGGGGCGGGGTTGCGTGTGCGGCGTCATGACGTCAGTGCACGCCGACGCGCCTGAGGGAAGGAATGCGGCAGGCGGAAAACTTGGGGAGAAAAGAGCCTTGATTGTTTCCACAGAGAACGTACTTTCTGAGGGGGCCGGACTTGGTGGACGGGAGTGGGCTTTTTTACACTGGGACGAGTAACTCTCTCCCGTGCCGAACTCCGCAGGCGCGTCAGTCCTTTCAGCAAATCGTGCCTCGAGAGTTCTTAGGCATGGAACTTTCTGAGGCTCATGGAAAAGTTTGGATCCTTTCATCACAAAAATGCACATTATCAGAACATTGAAAATCATGCATTCAGGGAACTGACGGGTCTAGACCCCCTCTCTTCCTTAGACTGCGGTCCCTAAGTCAAGTTAGGAACCTTCGGTCCGGGGACTAAGGGTCATTATGGGTCATTGTATAACCATTTGCCTTGTTTGAACTTTTTTTTAAAAGCCGTATTTCTTTTTTCCAAAGAAAATTTACAGACAAACCCCAAAAATGAGAAAAAGAACAACTTCTGTAGAAGAATTTGGTAGGAAGGTTAGCCTGATTATGGAATTAGAGATAGTGGTGAGAAGAAAGGTGTTCATTGCTGGCTGTGTCAGGACTTAATGGGAAGACAGAAATGATTTCCATTTTCTCTGATAGCTCTAGTCCCAATCTCAGGGGATTATTGAATAAGTGAGAGTACTTGTTTGAGCTCCCTTCCTCAGTCAGCCTGAACAGCTGCTATTTATGTAATTTAACTTTCCAAGTGGGCCATCTCAAGAACTTTGTGCAGTATCTTTCTGCTCTGGGAATTCAACAAGGAAGTTACTGGCCATAATTGATGACACTGTCTCATCACTGTCTCATAGTCACTCTGTAACAATGTAAAACCCAAAGACGATAATACGTCCTAATATTTAGAGCTAAAGGAATTGGAATTGGTTCTTCCAGTTCACCCTGGTATTCCTATGTTAAATGGATACATAATTTGGTAAAAAAGAAATACACTTAGGGGTGCCTGGGTGGCTCAGTCAGTTAAGCGCCTGCCTTCAGCTCAGGTCATGATCCCAGAGTACTGGGATCGAGTCCCACATTGGACTCCCTACTGAGAGGAGCTTCTCCCTCTCCCTCTCCCCCCTGCTTGTGCTCTCTCTGTCAAATAAGTAAATAAAAAAAAAATATATATATATATATAAAAAGACGTACACTTAGTTCTTTTCTCAGTCTATACCAGTCCTATAATCCATGAACCTAAGACAGATATGGTTGGCCTTAAGGGTTGCAGACTTATAAGTAAAAAAAAAACCAAAAAAACAAACAAGAAGACCCCACAAATGCCCAGTTACATTTTAATTTCAGATAAACAATGAACAGTTTTTCATATAAGTATGTTGCATGCAGTAATTTTACATACCCATTTCAAGTTACTCAAGCACATCAGTTCCTTCAGCAAATTCTGTATCAGTAATTCTTAGATCTTTTGAAGCTGTTTGGACCTTTCCACAAATATGTATAATTATCCATACATTATCCATGCAAATATTGCATGGGACATACTTATACTAAAAAATTATTCATTGTTTATCTGAAATTCACATTTAACTGGGCATTGTGTTTTATCCAGCAACCCTACCTCAAGGGATCCATGAATAACCTGATATTGAATGCAGATGTTCTAGGACATTTTGGCTGAATCAGGACCTGGGCTCAGTTCCTATATGGGTTAAGCTGTGTCAGACACACTTATTGATTGCTCTATGGACCTTAGATGCTGCTGGGCAGAGTTAGACATCCAAAAATGTATATAGAGGGATCTCTATGGACAAAAAGGCCTTTTGATCCTTTCTTGTTTTGAGACTGAAAGTTAATAAAATGTGTGTGATGGTGTGGGAGGCCCTGACTAAGGGCAGATAGATTACTTGGAAGGACAGGTCCCCTGAGAATGAAATGTTGGAAGAGTCAGGACCAATAGCTGGCATCAGTACAAAGGACTAAGCATCTAAGGGGAGAATTAACTTCAGAACAAGAACCCATCAAGGACTGGCTTACCAAAGAAACCAGTGGAAACTAGACCATTTTTGTTGTACACTACCATCAACTGAGGGAAGAAAGGTTCTCCCTTGAGCTCTAGGACATCGATGAGTCCCAACACAACTGGGATTTGAACTCACTAATCATATAAACACCGTCTTTCCATATTTTGTACAACAGCATAGCATCTGAGTTTTCAGTGGACCGGGTCAGATCATAAAGGGGCTTATAGGTGATGCTAATGGCCTTGGACTTTATCTTGGAGATGATAGGAAATCCTTGAAGGATTATAAACAAGGAAGTAAAAAGATCAGATTTGTGTGTCAGAAAAAAAGCAGCAATCATAAGTAACGGAAGAGTCAGAAGCAGGTCCAGAATCATGCACTCTTAGCTATAGGAAGGGAGAATACAGGGAAGGCCAGCTAACTGTCTTGACCACCTATACATTTCGATGGACAGAGGTTCTTTGTATTGCAAAGTAAATCCCCTTTAAGCTTTGGTAGCCTCAGATCTGGTAGTAGACCTTCTAGCATACAGAGCTGTATAAGGCCTGAACCTGGTCCAAAAATATTCCTCAGAGGTGATATACATTGTGATCATTTTTAAGTTGCAATTACTCCCTTAGTCAAGATGTGGAGTCTAAGTACCTTCCTTTTGTTTTTTTGGTTTGTTTTTTGTTTTTGTTTTTAAAGATTTTATTTATTTATTTGAAAGAGAGAGTGAGAGAGAAAGAGCATGAGCAGGGTGAGGGGCAGAGGGAGAAGCAGACTCCCTGCCGAGGAGGGAGCCTGACCTGGAGCTCAATGCCAGGACTCCAGGATCATGACCTGAGCCAAAGGCAGACGCTTAACCAACTGAGCCACCCAGGCGCCCCTGTTTTGTTTTGTTTTTGAAAGATGTATTTATTTGAGAGAAAGTGCACTCGTAAGTGCAGGAGTTGGGGGGCAATTTCACTCTTATAGCAGAGCCATCATCATATGGCTCTCCCATATAGGAGAGGGATAGAATCCTCAGGCAGACTCCCAGCTAAGCACAGAGCCTAACATTGGGCTCTGTCTCAGGACCCTGAGATCATGACCTGAGCTGAAATCAAAAGTCAGACACTTAACTGACTGAGCCACCCAGGTGCCCCATACGTACCTTTCCTTTGAATCTGGTTAGATTATGTCCGCTTCCAGAAGTAGAGTCCAGCAGAAGTGATGCTAGGTCAGGAAAGGCCATACAGAGCCCATTTTGTTCTCTGGAATTCTCATCCTTGGATTCCTGAGCCACCATGTTAAAAAGAGGAACCACTGTGAGGCAACCATGTTTTCAGAAAGTTCAAGCCACATGCAAAGTCTATGTGTAAGCACTCCAGTCAAGAGTTCCAGCTAAGTACTGCCTTTGAGTCATACCAGCTCAAGTGCCAGTTATTTCAGTGAAGAAACTTCCGGATGATTCCAAATCCAAGTCATTTGAGTCACCCTCAGCCACTCCAGTGTTCCCAGATAAGGGCTCAAACGTCACAGAGCTGAGACAAACATCCCTATTCTCTGTCCAAATTCCTGACCCACAAGAGCAAAATAAAATGGTTGTAATGTATCACTAAGGTTGGGTGGCTTATTATACCTCGGTAGACCACTTAAGTTCCCAGGGGAACCCAACCCCTTAGACTGCATATTGAACCTATTCCCTTTCAGGGCTTCATATTGCTAAGCATTTAAATGCATTCATGAAAATGATAAAATTCATAACCTGTATTGGACAATCTTTCTAGCTTTCTGATGATGGCTCTGCTATAAGAGTGAAGTTGCCTAACTGTAGAGTATTAGTGTAGAGACAATGATTTTTGTCCTACAACTGAAGAATCTTTTCCAGAGCTCTCCAAGTAAAAAATCCACATATTCAACACCCATTAGCCACAGACCAAAAATCACATGGGCCTCATAAATAAGACTGTTGAGGCACACATATGGTACCACATGTCACAGAGGCAAAATGACTAGGTCCTGTAACTTGTCACAAGGGTTTGTCACCAAGTTCTTGTTGCTTGGAGAAGTAATGCAGATGAGAGATTCGATCCAATTCTCATTCCTCTGTACTATTACCCATGTCAGTAGAAAACTTGTGCTGATTCCATTGTATATAATAAAGGCTAAGGGTTATTCTTGGAAAGACAGACACGTAATAATAATAATACAGTGTGAGAACATTGTGATAATTTGCACAGGACATTGTGGGAGTGCTAAGGAGGAGATAATGAGTTGGTTTGGGATGTAGTAATGCTATAACGATTCCAATGTAGGTCAGTCCTCAAAGTATTTTTAGTTGCGATGAAATTCATAGGAAAAGAACACTTGAACAGATTTACTTGAACAATTCTAAATAGGTTTATTTTGCCATGACACTACACCTCTAATTTCTGGGAAATTTTCTAATTATCAGAATGTAAAAAATACAGGAAAATATATGAAACAAACTAGTAGTTCTTTAATTTTGACAGTGAAAATTTTGACTTTTTCAATGAGATAGAAATAAGAACAAGGTAAGCTCTATGCAAAGTGATATGATAATAACCCTTGAGCCAATCCGAGAGAAATACTATTATCCTGCCTGAGTGGGATCCAACGCCCCACCAAACATTTTAGTTAAAATATACAAATGAGGGGCACTTAGGTGGCTCTGTCGGTTAAGCGTCTGCCTTTGGCTCAGGTCATGATCCCAGGGTCCCCAGTGCTGGGCTCCCTGCATGTCTCTCTCTTTCTGCCCCTCCCTCTGCTCATGCTCTCTCTCTCAAACAAAATCTTTTTCTAAAAACTTGTATTAAAATAAATTTTAAAAATAACAAAATACACAAATGACACAGATATTTAACTTAGATGACAAAATCTGTAGTGAACCCATTTACTGAGGTTAACAGTATACTGAAGAGTTTGGGTTCAGTTTTGGATTTTGTTTGTTTGTTTAAGGGAGCATGGGGCAGGGAGGGGTAGAGAG